TAAATTAGTAAATGTTTATAAATTTATGAATAAAAAAAGATTTTGTATTTATTTCTTTATAAATTAGTAAATGATAAATATCGCATTATAAATTAGTAAATGATAGATATTGCATTGTGTTAGTTTTTAGAATACTGTATATATAAAATTATTCTTGTAAATAATTTAATAGTGTTCAATATTTTTGTTGTAAATTCTCAAGGACAAAAAAAATATGTATAAATTTCATTACATGTCAAGGTTTTATTACAATTTTAATCATTACTTTTTATAACAATAAACATAGCTGAGGAGTGAAAGTTGTTAAATAATGGTGTAAAGGGAAAAGAAATCCTTTTGGCACTGTTTTTTTTTTGTGGGCATGAAGGTCCAAGTTTGCTGAACTATTTTTATTTCATCTGTGTATAAAATAGAATACAGAGAAATAATTCCTGCAAATATGGTTTATAAATATTTTATGATGATATACTAAAATGGAGTCTTTTTTTAACCAGAAACTGTTCAGAATTTAATGTATCAGAATAACATTGCAATAATAATTAAAATCCAACAATAGGTTACAATTTTTTTGTCATGGGGTCTGAAAGCTAAAAAATAAATATGTTACAATTAATAATGACATCATGTGTTTTAAAATATTTTTCTTTGGGAAAATTCCATTCCTAAACAGTGTAATAACATAAATTTTATAAAATATTATATTATTTACACTTTAAAATTTGATGTACCTGCTATATATCTTGAGATTATTAACAAAATTCAGTGTCCTAACCTGGTATTTTGACTTTCGTTACATTCCCACTGCCATAACATGAATTCTGTCTTTTCTATCAATATTTTTGTAGTAAGTGTTCTAATGACCTCTTCTCCTTGGTACCACAACTGCATGAATTTAAGTGTACTACGGTGGAGTAATGGATAGAGGCTCAAGTTGAGCTGAGTTCAAATTCCAGTCGAATCCATTACATTCACTTATGTGCTAATACCCTTGTGAAAGGTATGAATCCTTTTTCTCCCTCACCAGCTATGGGTAAATAGCAGGACAGACCAGGTTCTATAGTCTTGGATGTCAACTGGTCTACCGCAGAAAGAAATGGCAACCTATTGCTGGAAGAAAATCTGCCTCGTCAATCATGTATTGAAAGATACATGATCACCTAAGTGTGTATCACATATGGCACATAACTGACTGACTAGAATAGTAATTAGGTCTCAGTTGTTTTGTTGAAATAGCTAAATGTAATCATAATTTCTATTCTAACTTTCTTTTCTCACATTTCTTGCTTGTGGAATTCCAGATTCTTGCTTCTCTGTTCTTCCAAAATTTAAATGTAACATCAATTGTCATCTTCTGTCTTCCTGAACCCTGTTCTTTTATTGTCGTTTCTCCTAACTAATAGCTTCTCATTCTTTTTCACTCCCAATAACTCCTTGCATCATTGGACATTATCACCTAGCTTGGGGTGAAATAGTTAAAACTCAATACAGAGAATATACAAGTTTTCAATATAGTGCAGATCATTTCATGACCTGGTGATGTTTTTGCCAATATCTAGCCATACTTGGATCAAATATGGTAAAACAATTAAGTTGTGGAATTAAATTTCTATATTTTCTATTTAGCCTTACTTCATTGAATACTCTAGCATTCAGCATGAATAAACTAAAATCTTTGATTCAAGTACACGAGTAGGTCTAGAAAAAAATATTACATATTTAAAATGTGTGAAAGACCAAACAATATAGGTTATTCATTTCAATGTTGTTGAACATTAACATGATTAAATTTTCTTCTAATCATCTATACACAAAGACAATATCTACAGGACAATGTTATTACAGGAGTTGTATATACACATGATAATAATATATTGAAACTAGCTGTTGTAATGCTGTCTTTATTAGAAATAGAAAGAATTAGAGTATCAAACGAACAGAAAATTGGGTAGAGGAAACAAGAGGTTTATTAAATACTCATACATATAATGGAATAATTTGAGTAAACTCAAATCCTAATGTGGCTACTTGCCATATTTATAAGAAGGAGCAGTCCATTGTCACAGTAGTAGGGAATAGCAGGAAGTATGCTGAGTCCTACTCTACAATAGTAGCTATTGACCAAACTATGATAGAAAGGTGCTGTTTTTAAGGGGTTACTGGATTAATGTTGCCATACTGCTAAAAATATTATGTAAACTTGTAAAGAAAAACATGTGGTGGAGTACTTTTCACAGAACAAATAGTTGGTATCCAGTGGAGTAAAAGGAACCCAGGAAAGTTCTTAAGCTTGTTTAAAATTTCACATATCCTGGAATTTATAGATCAAAGTTTAAAACTACCACTTTTTAAGCTTGATAAAAGTCTTTTTGAATCTGAACATAAACAATATATATATATATATATATATATATATATATATATATGTTAAAACAGTTCCATTATCACTCAAAAGCCATGAGACTATCATAGAACAATAAAACAAGAGCACAAAGTTTGGTATGATACTGAAGATTTTGAGATTTTTTTTTTTTTTTTATTTTATTCAGCAATGACAGTGAATTTGTCAGAAACAAGAAACAAATAATTACATAGAATCAGAGCTCATACATTAAAAACAGGTATCTGAACATTTAAAAAAATAAACAACACCTACAAGGGTACAGAATCTAACATGCTATTTTGAAGGCTTTAGTAGATAAAATCATCTGTTTCAGTTGAGCAAAAAATGTTCATGTGCTTGTAAAAAAAATAAAAAATTAAAAAAAAAATTAAAAAAAACAAAAAACAAACTGATTTAAGTTTTTTATTTGAATATGTATATTTTTTTAAAATGTGAACAATGTTATAAAAAAGACATTTCACAATATGACAACAATCAAACACTGTTCATTTATGTTTGCAATTCTAAAGAGTTGCTTGTACACATACAACAAGTAAGGTGTCATATAATGGACACTAACAAGCAAAGCAATAACCTTTTTTTTTTTCTAGTCTTCCAGAATGCTAACGAAATTCCCACCATGCTGGACATTGGCTCTGAAATTCAGAACACTATAAATATCACAAGATATAACAGAGTAATGAATGGACAACTGAAAAGTTAAGCAAGAAGATTTTATGCTCAATGATACAAACATTTTCCATTCATTAAAGTGAAATTTAAGAAATTATTCAGTTTCTTATGACCAAACAGATTGTTTGAGAGTACCGAAATTTGTTCAGTGTGTTCTTGAAAAAAGTTAGAACAAAGTTGAAAGCAGATATACACATGTACAAAGAATATGTACATTTTTACATAATTTATAAATACAGAATAAAATTTCAGGGTTAAAGAACTGGTTCAATAATTTGTCTTCTGACTGTACATGCTGTAAAGGGCCAGAGATATTTTTTCTCCTAATACAGAGATTAAGAATATTCTGGATTTGAAGTTACTTCATAATTTTGTACCTTTTGCACTGAAGTTGTTGAATGAAAATATCCTTAATTCATCAGAGATATGTTTATAAGGTTATTGCTCAGAAGTTGTTTTGCTTTGTTTTTAAATTAGTTCTCGAAAAACAAAGTTTAAATCCAAAATTAAGATTAAAATTATTACTACCAAAACTATAATATTCACAAAATTAGAAAGCTACACTTAGTGGCTACTTACATACTTTTAAAAAATTCTCAATTTTCAGAAAAGCTGTATATATTTTTACACATTATCATACCTTAATATTTATTAAGACAACTCTTAGGGTTATCAATGTTATTTATACTCACATAACATTTCAGTTGTTTCATTCTACATTCCTCTTCAGGTGTTTGGAATAAAGAGGTCACTTTTTTTGGTTTTATTTTTTTTTAAAATACATGGACAATTTTTCAACTCTTCTTTCCACAGATGTATGCATGATAAGGCAGATAGCTGGAGCAAAGACAGGTGGTTATTGATTGAAATCACCCTCACATGTTGAGATGGTGTAATGCTTTGGAATGGGATTATAGATGGTAAAATGGTGGCCCAATGCCAAATTCAAAATAGTTCAGACATACAATGATTTTTTTAAGGCATATATGGAGCTACATTTCAAGAAGAAGCCTAACACTTTCAGAAAGAGGATTTTTATGCATGATAATGCTCAATCACATTTATTGAGCAAAAACCTAAGGAGTGCTAATAAAATTGGTTTCAGTGACACTCATTTGATTAAATAGTCAGCTTTATCATTCAACCATAACCATATTAAAAACTTGTGACATTCCAAAAAGGAATTTTTATGTTCAGAATGGCAATTTATCATTAAAGATGAACTTTGCAATGCTATTGTGGATGTTGTACAACCTGTTTCATATCAAGCAATATAACAGCTCATAAAAATCAGTGGACGAAAGATTTGTAAAACTAGTTTCAGAATATGAAGCATATATTTCACATTAATGTTGCCTATATAACTGACATCATTTCCATGTCAACAATGTTTTATTTAAAACATCTTTGCACATGTTCTGTAATAATTTTTAATTGCAACATCATGTACCTTGGTATTTCAATAACCTGGTTAATAATGCTAAACTTAAAAAATCAGGTAAAAATTCCTAAAACTGTTGCCACATCAGAGTGACATGTAGCCTGCAATAATTTATACTTATATGAAATATCCAGGACATTGATAGTGCAAATATTTCCAAAAATCAAATCATTAGTTTTCTAAAGATTAAAAGTGACTAATAATGTGAGTTGTAATATTAATAATAATTCATAATTTGGTATGAGGATTTTCTAAATATAAAAGCCACTTTCCTTATTACACCAAGTTACCTTGCTAACAATAAAACCATCAAGAAACATTAATAAATACTTGTTTCTGTAAGTATTCATGCAGTTATATTTAAGTTTAAAAATATATATTTTTGAAATGAAAAAATTGTATTTGCATTTTTTATTTGCATTTAGACTTGGTAAATAAGACATAAAAAAAAAAAAAAATGAAACAATAAAAACTGACATTACTTACATGTATCAGCTGGGTGAATTCAGCATAAGAAACTTTTCTGTTCTTATCTTTCCCAAAATGTAGCTGTAGAAAATTCCCATCAAAATTGAAAGGAATTTTGTTGTGCAATGTTGTATGTTTGATGATATTAACAAATTCATCTGAAAAATACAAATAAATATCATGAAGCCTTAAATTCTGTTGTTACTATTTCAGAAACTAAATTTAATTATATGAGGGAGTGTCCAACTAAGAAGCCTCTGCCCCCCAATTCTTATTTTGGGTCATTTGATCAGATTTAGGAAGTAGTTTGGGCAGAGAGATTTTCTTATACAATGCCTATACATAAGCAAAATTTACTGGAAATCAATAAAGAAAAGCAACAAAACAGTTGTTTAAAATTTAAGAGATGAACCATAAAAAGAACTAGTAGGTCATTTCATTTCGCAACCTGTAGCAATGGCTTAAACTTAAATTGAAATAGGTAACATTATTATTTTATACAAAAATAATACGAAAAAGGTAATGTTACAAATTAAAATAGAGAAAATATATATTAGGTTGTATCATATGAAATGTATTTTGATAGAAAAAAAAAAATATACAAACCCTATATTTTAAAGTAAAAATAAAACATTTTAATCAAAATATCTGCAACTGTAAATGATCTGAGAGTCAGCTGAAAAGTTCATAGGCTTACTATGAAGGGGTGATGCTAGATCTGTGAAATCTTGCATGCATTAATTTCAACTCTTCTTATTGATAACTGCATTGTTTCTTTCAAGGCAAACTGACATCTGACTGTTCAAAGAAGACTGTTTTTCCTGTTAAAAAAAGTCATCTACAGCAGATATGACGTCATCATCACTGCAATACTGGTTCCCAGCCAAGTGTTTTTTTTCATGTTGGGGAACAGATAATAGTTAAATCGGGAGAATAGGGAAGATGATCAATTAATTTAAAGCCAAAGTCATACACAGCAGCCACTGAAACCAAGGATTTCAGTGCTGGAGCCTTGCCCTGATGAAGCAAGACCTCTTTTGTCAGTTTTTCTGGGCATTTGTTCTTGCTTCAGCAAGTTGGCATCATACTCTCCATTGATGGTGTCACCCCTTTGAAGATAGTCAATAAAGACAATACCTTTTGCATCACAAAAACTGAGGCCATTACATTCCCTGCAGATGAAACAACATTGGACTTCTTTGGAGCAGGTGAGGAAGAGTGTTTCCACTGTATAGATTGTCTTTTTGTCTCTGGCTTAAAGTGATAAAACTAAGGTGAGATTGATGCCTATTTCATGCCACCCACACATTCCACCGCCCAAAGAAAGAAGGAAAGAATAAGTGAAAGAACCAGTAAAAAGTATCTGAAAGAATAACATCAAATAATTAATGTGGTCTTTATATAAAATTACAAAAGTTATTGGTCTCTCTACAGTTTGTACCAACCCGTACCAGAAAGCTTCTTTTGTCTGAAGACATTTTTTAAGCCCTGTGAAATGTTATTTGAACAGTAAACAATGTTAAAGATAAACGTCTCCACTTGTTAAAAATATTTTGCACTCAGTTTTAAAAAGTATGTTAAAAGCAAAAATACAAAGTGTTTAAAAACAATATCTATGTACTAATTATCATCAACATCTAGTTCATTTGACAAATGATTCATGTTCAATTACAGAAACAATATATTAGTTACATTTTAAATTAAATTGATGTCACTGTTTACTTAGTATTGACCAACAACAAATTCCTTTTACTATGTCATCCCATTACAATAATAATGGATTGGTTTTGTGTAATGTATTGCTTTTCATGAGACTAATTGCATCCCTGGGATGCACAGATGGGAATGTTACTGCGTCCTTTAGGATGATTTAAGGCTAATCATAACAGTCATTTTATAAAAGGGTAATTTCAAGTACCCTAAGTAGTAGTAGATAAAAATAATTACCACAGGTAATGTAGCCATTGCCATTTTGGTCAAAAATGGTAAAAGCCAAGGCATAGAGGGCATCTGGAAGACACAGTAATGCTTCAAAAGCTTGAAATTCATGAAATGAGATCAATCTGGAAAAAAAAAAAATCTATTATATAATTCATCCTAAATCAGTCTATTCTCAATATAACCCACAAATGGTAGTATGGAATATATAGTTTCATGTCTTTGGTGTATGGTAGGTGGGGTGCATGTTCATATGTAAACAAAGAAGAAACATACAAAAACATGGGTTTCTCCTATGAACCATTTATTCTTTTTTTCTTATATAAATTGTAGGGAAACAAAGTTCTGAATGTCTCTTGGACATATGTTTTCTTTTTGGCCCAGAATTTAGGGTAAGTATAAGCATTGTTATAATGGTTGAGTTCAAGACAGCCTCGCACCAAGTTGGAATGACCAAAGAAAAGGTTGGTTTATTTCATAAGTGTAGATTTTGGAAGACACATGCAAACATCATATGTTGAAAAGCGGAAATAGAGTCCATTGTCAGTGAACTAGGAAATGAATGTGCCCCATTGGAACATCTTTTTTTTTTTCTATGTTCTGCTACATCTTAGAGGAAGGAAAATGTTCTTTTTATATACTTAAACAGCACCAGTTGACAGCTGCTTGATGAAACCAAGTGGGGTAATAAAATTTCTGGTTCCTTTACTACTAGCATCATGGGAAAATGTTTTATTTATTTATTTATTCATTCAATATCCTATCATAATTTCCCCTTCTCTTGAACAGGTGTAGAGGCTCATCTCTTTTTTCCTGTCCAGTTCTTTTTCTTTTTTCAGGCCTTAATAGTGGTACTGTGATGAATTTTTTGTGATATGCGTGGATGGTAGCAACATCTCTTCATACCGGGGGTACTGGGTTGGTAGTTTTCTGGTTGCTGTTCCTGACTGGTATTCAGGAGCCCAAACCCTTGCATAGCCTCTTGAGAGGCTGCTTTGATCAACAGTCGCATAATATTGGGGTTCTTGTAGTGCCATGTCATGCATGGAAAGGTGTCCCTACAAGCAGGTAACTACAAGGTTGCAGTCCATACAAGTTCCCTTCCAGCATGTTACATTAGATGACTGACCACTACCACTATCTAGGCTTTTCCTTACCAATATAACACATCATGACTATAAACCACCAAAGATATAAATCTAAACCAGATCATCAAAAAAATACCTAAACCTCTTAAATTTTCTTTCTCCAACATTCGGGGGTAGTCATAACAACTTCTGCAGTATGGAACTGTTCCTCTTTGAAAAGTCTCCAGACATCCTAGATCTCTGTGAAACTAGTCTTAACTCTTCAATACCCTCCGCTGATTTTTCAATTCCTGGCTACCTTCCTCTAATTAGAAAGGACTCTAAAGTCCACATGCATGGCCTGGGAGTTTATGTCCCCAAACATCTTCTGCTAGCTAGAGAACTCTCTTGAATCTCCAGACCATTCTTACATGTGTCTCCGTCTCTCTCTAATTAACTCAGTAAGCTATCTCTTCTATGTTTACTATTCACCTATCTCTCAAGACAGTTGCATGTTAGATAGTATTTCCAATAATATAGACAAGGCCATCTCACTACACCCATTTTCAAACATATTCGTGTTTGGTGGCTTTAATGTCCACCATACCAGGGGGTTTAAACACTGTCACTGACCTCACTGGCATCCAAAGCCTTAATCACTCATGCAAGTGGTTGACTTCCCCCAGATGGACATGCTTCTCTTCTCAATCTCTTTTTCACCTCTATCCATGACTCTTGTCATGCTACACAGCTCTGCCCTAACTCTGTTTATTCAGCAATGTCTGTAAACATCTCCTTCCACACCCTCACAAGCCAAGAACCTCTTACCAACAGAATATCTTTGTTATCAACGAGCAGATTGGGACACATTCCAGGATTTCCTTTGTGACATCACTTGGAATGAAGTTTTTAATTATCCTGTCCAAAAATGTAAGTCTGAGATCTCCTTCTGGGTGAAAGCTAGCATCAATGATTTCATTCCAGCAAGGAAATACCAAGTTAAACTGTTAATTTCCTTGGTTCTCACCTGCATGCGTGGCCACTATAGCTCACAGGAATCACTTCGTCTGGCTGTACCAGAGCAACATCTGACTGAACAGACATCTCTTTGCTCATAATGAGTGCAAGCATATCCTCAATGAAATTAAGTTACTGCTTACAACGTATAGCATCTTGTAAGTTCAGTTCTAGATATTATTGGCAGCTCTGCAAGGGTGTGCCGAACAACAGCAAATCAATACCTCCTCTATTCAATCAATTCAAAGTCCTGACATCTGCAGTAGATAAGGTGGAATGCTTTGCTTGGAAATTCTATTCCAACTCAACACCGTATTCATCTGGAGTACACACACCTGATTTTCCCCCTAGAACTGAGGTTCTACTGAGTGATATGCACATAACCCGGTCACTGGTCTCAGACACCATTTCCAAATTAGACTCCCATAAGGCAAGTGGAGGTGACGGTATACCATCCATTGTCCTAAAGAAATGTGCTCCTGAGCTGGCTCCAGCTCTCTCCAAACTCTACAACTATTGCCTCACTGCTTCCTGTTTTGTTTGTTGGAAGTTCTGTGTAGTCCCTGTTTTTAAGAACTCTGGAGAACCTTCTGACTCCTCTATCGCCATATTAATCTCCTACCACTTTTTGGCAAAGTATACAAGGCTTTAATCAATGCTGACATGGTTAAGCAACTTACCCCTCATGACCTACTCTCTGACAAACAATATAGCTTCTGTTTTGCCCGATCTACTGCTAATGTGCTAATGGCCATCACTGAATATGTATATCAAGCTCTTCAAGGAAATACACATGGTTTAACTTGGTATTTCCTTGCTGGAATGAAGTTTTTGATGCCAGCTTTCACCCATGGCAAAGCTCAAGCAGTGGCTCTAGATATCTCAAAGGTGTTTGACAGGGTTTGATATGCTGGTCTTCTATGTAAACTTCAGGGCTATGGTATTACAAGACAACTGTCTGATTTAATCCAATCATTCCTATCAAATCATGAAATGAAGTTTATTTTGAACAAGCTTGCTTCCAGATCCTTTCAAATGCAACTGTCTCCCAAGGCTCTATCCTAAGTCCTATGCCATTTCTGATCTTTATCAATGATCTTCCTAATGTCATCAGTTCCCAAACAGGCATTTATGCAGATGACACTACCATTTACCTGTCTCAATAGCAAATCCATCAGAGCTAACAAAGTTAATCTGGTTGCTGCTCATGAAATGGACCCCCAATCAGTGGTTAACTGGCTAGTAAATTTTATTGTCTCCAAAACTAAACTACTCTAATTTAACCACTATAGAGAAACTTTCTTACCCGCCATCAGTATGGCTGATGCTAGACTTCAGGAGAGTGTTTCACTGTGCTTTCTTGGCTTTATATTTTCAAGTGACTTGAAGTGGAATAATTACATTGAATCAATAGCTGTATTTACTGCATTGTGTCATACCAGGTTTTTCTCATCACAGTCCATCTTGCACATTTACAAATCTTACCATTCATCCATGCATTGAATACTGTTGCCATATCTGGTCTGATGCTCCCGCTGTTCCTCTTGCAGTTCTTGACAAAATCCAAAGAAGGATCTGCAATGTAATTGATCCTGACTTGGTATCTTGACTTCAGTTACTTTCTCACAGACATGATGTGGCTCCCCTGTATTTTCTAAAAATATTTTTCATGGCAATTGCTCTGACAAGCTTCTTTCCCCTGGTGCCCTGATTACATGAATTTAAGCATGCTACTAGATTGGTTCCACCCTTTTACTGTTGAAAGAGTTAAATATAACCACCTCTTCTATTGCAGCAGTTTCTTTTCTTGCACTTCCCAACAGTTGCTTACTTGCTTCCCTGAAAACTACAATCTTTAAAAATTTAAATGCAACTTCAATCGCTAGTTTCTGTTGTCTTGAAGCCTGTTCATTTTTATCCTTTCTTCAATCCCCTCTACACCCAGCTTTTCTTTCACTTTCATTCCCTGTAACCTCTTGCATACTAGTGGAACTCACGCTTTGCTTGGGGTGAAATGATTAAAAAAAAAAAAATAATAATTTGTGCTTGTCCCTTCTTTCATTAGTCTGCATGACCATTAAGCCCCGATAATTCCTCATAAATAATGGACTACTCAGTTTTGATCATGTAGAAAGAGGGAAATACACTACTTGGTTTCAGTAAGAAAATTAAAACAAGTGGAGAGAGAGAGAGAGAGAGAATCAAATTAAGCTGATTAGAACTGCTACTACAATTTGATTTTAGACAAAATACCACTAAGTCATGGCAGTTGCGATAAATATGCCATTTTTCAGATGCAGAGTATTAAATGACAAACTGAATAAAATCCAGTTAACATAAATAGAATATCATCTGCTGAATTATATTTAAATTAAAGAAAAATGTATGTAAGATGGGGGATTTTGATAGAGTGGAAAAGATACTACTTAGTTTCAGTTAGAAAATGAAAGAAAGGGAAGATAGAAGTGTTTACCAGCTGTTTCAGTGAAATGGAAAAGTTGTCAATTTCAAATCTTTTCATTTGTACCCTCTTCTTAAAATAATGACCAGTATTTATATTTATGATTGTTATTGCAATATTTTGTTAAGGTTGTTAAGCTCAAACATTTAGTGATGCAATAGGGGAATTTCTACAGATATTTTATTGTTGTAGAACTTGTCATGAACTTCTTCAATCATTAACTTAGAAATTAAGATTCATCAGAATATTAAAATATGAAACCGTGAAATTTTCATGAGTTAAAACTAGTTACTTTTAATTTTTCCATAGTAGCTCCCAGAAATGTAAAATTTAATACAGGCAAATCATATCCAAAACATTTTATTGATCTTTATCTATTCCTTTAAGAGTTTAAATATGATTTTTTTTTTTAATCATTTCACCCCAAGAAAGGCAATAAAGACCCTAAGATGCAAGGAGTTACTAGAGTGAGAGAGAATATGAAAAGAAAAAAAATAAATAAATGACATTGCATTAAAATTTTTGATGATCAGAGTTGACTGGAAAGCAAGAAGACAAAAGGGCGTTCCACAAGTGAAAAGTGTGAAAGAAGAAACTGTTAGCATAGAATTTGCAGTTACATTTAGCCATTTCAACTGTAAAATGGTGAAATCTTGCCACCAATTTAGTACTAAAAATTCATAAAGTCTAGGTATCATAGAGGAAAGTTCAGAATAATTACCATGGAAATAAAACAATTCTGATAATATTCATTTAACATTAGCCATTTGTATGAATATCTATGTATCGAAGTAAATTTGAGATTTTTAAGAGTAAAAAAAAAACAAAAAAACAAAAGACTTTATAAGTTAGCTAAGATTTTAGGTAGTCAATCAAGATAATAGGTTAATTCTTAGTAAATATAGTATTTAACTTTGAACCCTATCATATATATTGGGCTATTCATATTACAGACATAAATGCACGTCTCGTAAAAGGCTCTCAATTGTATTAATCAATAGTGACTGAAAGAACAGTCACAAGCCTATGTACCTGAATTTTAACAAGGTTAATAGATATCCTGTTGCTAGTCAATCTCAATTTACTAAATAGCTAGTGTAAATTAAAAAAAGTAGATCCTAAAAGAGAAGTGTCTTCTTTTATTACATTTAGCATTAATAAAAATCTTCTTTTTTTTTTCTATTTTATTACAAAAGTGCCTTACAACAGAGTAAAATTGACTTCAGAGATAACCCCCAACTGATAAGCCATGCTTATCAGATAGTTTCAAGACTAGATTTTCACATTCAGGATCTAACTTAAGTATAAGTATACAATAAGTAAACATACTCACTTCTTGTCACCCTTTAAGTAGGTACAGACAAAGCAATGTAAAATAAAAAATAAAAAAACACAACAAAATTTCAAGACCAATATATATTGTATGGAATCATTTAATTTTAGAACAGGCAATTGTTAAAGTAAATGGAAAAAGTATATTTTGTCTATATAAAAGGGATGCTAAACTTACAGTGACAGCCCTAGGGTTGCTGGCATCCCAGGCAAGGTTAGATCTGCAAATCTTTTCATGGCATTTTCTACACCTATCTTCTTTACAAGATCATTTTCTATTGACAACATAGCCAAAGAATTTAATCTGTCTTGAGTCATGGACAAGCACAAGTATATTTTCATAAGCTTTAGCTTTGGAAGATCCCAAACACATGACATGGTGGCACCCTCAGTGTTGATGTCATCCAGGCAACTGCTCAAGTTGCCAGTACTTTGAGTCAGCCCTATACTTCATCACAGACAATACACTATGTCAGATTTTATTATACAAGTCAATGTTTTCACAAATCCATATTAACTAATCGATGTTAGTAAAATTCTGGACATATTTATATGATAAATATACCCTGTGAATGTCAGCATATGTTGGCCTTTATTAAAAATATTTACAGTAATTTATTTGATGGAGTGAGATTTTATTATTCAAATCAAGGGTTGTTCATTATATTGTAAATAAACTTATATAATATTATGGTTATTGATATTTCTATTTCAGATATATAAAGGCTGCGAAAGATTATAAGAAAGATATAATCTCAAAAGAGAAGATATTGTAATGTTAAGTGATGGGAAGTCAGTTTCTTTGAAAGTGTGAAAATCAAACAAATGTTATAGGAAATTCAAAAATAATTGGGAACATTGACAAGAATAAAAAAGAGCACTGGCTTTTCAGAATGTTTAAAAAACACATTTAAAAAAACAAAAACAAAAAGAGAAATAACTAAGTTGTTTGACTAGCAAGAAAATATTTGGAGAATCTTGTGATGCAAAAGTAAATAAGGAAAAAAGATATAAAATATTAAGATTGGTTAAAGATATGAAAGCAACCAAACAACTATCTTTAAACAAACATCACAAAGAGAAATGTCTAAGTTAGGCAAACAAGTATTATACATGAAAACTCCTGATAGTAACTCTTAGTGATGAATATAGAGTTACACTGGATTGACCTGATGGATAAGTGAGAGGTTGGTTCCATCACAGAAATAGTTAGCAGTGAGTAAATGGAGTAATGTTTTTGGATAGTATTTTCAGTAGTAAAATTGAAAATTGAGAACACTCTTAAAATAATTTCCTTGCATTTATTTTAAGTTCTTAGACAAGAATTTTTTGAGTGATACAGGTCACAACCAAGCAGCTTTAAGCAAGACAATACTCCTTCACATTCTGCAAAGATGAGTATTGCTCAACTTGCAAAAATAAAAATAAAACTACCAAATTAAAAGAATGGCTTTGAATCTTTCCACATATTAATCCTATAGAAAACTCGTCCTTCATGAAAAGAGATATATATGAGAACTGAAAAAAATATTCAATTAAAGCAAATCACTGGGAAGCAATAAAAAAACTTTAAAAAAATTAAAAAAAAAAAAATCAATGGTTCAAAGACTAATGAAGGTTATAGAATGCTAAGGAGCCTATATTAACGTAAAATAATAATTTATTCTGGTATAGGGATTTTCTAAGCATAGCTCAGATGTGGCACAAGGCTGAAAGTAGGGGCACCCAGTGAGGATTGAACTCACTACTCAATCGTAATTGTTATAGCAAGACAAGCTTGCTAACCATTACACCACCTCGAGGTGCCCAGTCTGGTATATGGGATATTATGTTAATTGAATATATATTTCTATTACATATATCTTTTGGATTGACTTGTAAATAAAAAATTATATTGTACTTTGTTTGCATAATAAAATTTGCTGAAAATCACACAATTGCATGTTTGAATAGCATATGAAAATTTTATTGGTTGGTTTAAAACCATTTTATGATTTGGGTCATAAAATCTAACAATACTGACAGAGTTGAAAATAAGACACCAAATAGAACATCAATAAATGAAAGCAAAAGGAATGACTTATATTCATATTAGAATGTTATTTTAAAAAAAGTCCTCTTCTTTGTAAAGTCAAAACTAATAAATTTCAATTTTGTTTAATACTACATTTGAGGATAAGGAGCATAGATAATGACTGACCATTGATTTGAAGGAGGTTAAGATTGTAATAGAACATTCACACAAGAGTTCCACAAAGTAGCAATTCCCAGGAAAAAAGCTGCATGGAACTTCCTCCTTATATGGTTAAAATGAGGTTGATCTGACTAGATGGATGTAGCATGGCATGTTACTGCTATAAAGGTCTGAATTGGTGGAACTAAAGAATGGAACTCATCTGAATATTAGAGTAATAATAGGCTTGGGATGTTGCAGCAGTAGGAAAGAGTCTGTAATGTAGAAAATTACTCATCCTCAAAAGATTGTGTAAATGTTTCAGAACTCTATGAAGGCTGGAAAGTGATGATGTGGCAATAACACTCTTATTTTCAAGTCTAATGTTACTCTAGTAGGCATAGATAATTTGCTTCTGTTAAGACTCTTGCTAGCGATTATTCAGAACCTTTTTTACAGCAGTGGTTGCAGACAGTTCTGAATTAGTCTTGCTACACTGTTTATGGTGATACAGATAGAAGTATATAGCAAAGATCACATGATCAAAGGCAAAAAATCGTGTGCATACTAGACAAGAGAAAAGAGAAAAAATGGGCAGAAATATGACACCAGTTTGGAAACCTGTGTCAGATAAAAGTCTTACTCATACATTTATACTCATAGTTGGGAAGAGAAGACATGGACCCATACCTTTCCCAAGGCTTCTGTTGGCAGTGTTTCAATCCAAGCCCCATAACACTCTTTCATATATATATATATATATATATATATGTGTGTGTGTAAATAAACACGTGCAGTCAGGCAAAGAGAAGAATCAGTGTTACAGTCCCTCCAAGTGTTCTGATTGATTGATCGATTGTTTTTTTTATGGTTTATTAACCATTTTGCGGTTATTTAAAGCTGAAACATTTTTGGATTGTAAGAATGTTTTTGGAGATAATGGTTTTCTGATACAAGTTTTACTATTTAACCCATAGCTGAGAGGAGAAGAGATGGATTCATATCTTTCCCAAGAGTATTTGCATATAAGTGAAACAAACACAACTGGAATTTAAACTTGGCCCTCTGATTTCTCATTCTGAGCCATTATCCATTGCACCACATGTACATCTAAACTTACAGTACCTGGTCTTCCCCAGCGGTCACCCATCTAGGTAGTGACCAAGTTCTAGGTAGCTTAACTTTGGTTATTGGATGAGAACTGGTGTTTCAACGTTTCGAGTGTTTGTTCCAGATACTATTATTTTTCTTTTGGTGAAAGTGTCACCTGCCAAATTGCCTAGTATGCTATTTGCATTAGCTCCTTCTTTGGGTGAAAATATCACCTACCAATTGCCCCCCCCCCTATATATTTGCATTAACCCCCACTTTGTTGAAGTATCCCCTACCTAGTGTTCTTGTATTTATTTGCATTGGTTTCCCTACTATTGCTTTAACCTACAAAGTAACAGTTATGGTGAACTACGACTGCAGCATATTCAAGTGTATACATAGGCTGATTGTTTAAACTTTACTGATACTTCTTGAAAGAGATAAAACTTAATACTGGAAAGGATTCACTTAGAAATGAGGAAGGCTATTCTGGATGGGTTTACTTTTGAAGGAAGTTGAAAGTTATTGATTGACTAATGCACAAAAATCATTATAATGAAAACTAACTTTACAGTTAAAGTAAATAAATACTGAATACCAGTAAATACTTATTGAACTGCTTTGAGCTCAGAAGGCCTCAGGAATGACATACCTGTCCCGTGTAGTATCAGCGGATGAAGCAAACAACTGTAGGGTGTACTGATCAAATTTATCTGGCTTCAAAATCTGCAGATAGTGTATGACAAAATCACTGTAAGTCATGAAATGCTCATCCTGTATCTTCTGGCTGGCATACTGAAAAGAAAAAAAATCAAGATGCTTTTTCATACTTGAATATTAATAAATTAAATTTCCAGTGAACAGTGGCTGACCACAACTAACAGTTTCATATGTTGATCTGCAATCATCAAGTGGTCAGCCATATTCACAGGAAATTTAAAATATATTTAGACTGCCAGTTAATATAGCATTGAGCTCTCTTTCTCTGATGTGCCTATATAGCAGACACTCTTAGGAGTTGGTTATATATATATATATATATATATATATATACACACACAAAGAAATAATCACACATAGAATCAATCAGAAGTATTAATGCTAGTAAATGCTATTTTATTTTAAAAAAACATATGCCTGATGATGAATAGAAGACTATTCATAAGTACTAGCATTTTAACATCAAATAAACTTAAAACTACAGACAACAAGTTTATCGAAAAAAATCAAACTGACTATGGATGAACAGGATTTTAATGCATATATTATGTTTTCTAGCGATGGATGTTGCCAATAATCGCATTAATACTTGATTGATTCTATGTGTGATTATTTCTTTGTATGTAAATTATATGCTGCCTAATGTTTTATATATATATATATATATATATATATATATATATATATATATATATTACTATTTGAACCAACCAACTTCAGTGTTCAGAAAATATCAAAATATTAGTAGAAATAAACAAATTAAACATGTTACACTAAAAAATCCCATTATTTACACTACATGTGGACTATTGCCCTTATCTTTGTTGTTATTATCACGCACAAAAAAATCCCAATATCCCATTATTTTTCCTGAAGCATTGAAATACTAAGAAAAAATAAAATCCCTTGGGCGCTTTGTGATAATGGTTTAGGGATATGTCTTGCTAATTAAACCATATATGGAGGGAAAAGAGGTAGATTCATATCTTTCCCAAGAGTATTTGCATGTAAGTGAACATAACAAAACCAATTGGAATTGGAACTTCGCTCTCCAATTAACAATTCTGAGCCATTATCCATTAGACTACTTGTACATTCAAACTTACAGCACCTGGTATTCTCAAGTGGTCACCCATGAAGGGACTCACCAGGGTTGACATTGCTTAACTTTGGTGATCATACAGGAATCAGTATTTCAGTGTGATGTAACCATAAGTCTAACATGTTATTCAGTTAGAATCTTCAACTCGGAGAAAGATCTGGAAATCATAAATTCTCATAAATTTCAATCTATGTTTTACAACAGATAAAAATCATATATGCCCAAATTTGCAGTTCTGCAAGATTAAGTGATTTGTTCTTATCTAATTGTATTTATATTAAAAAAATATAAATCAGATGTACATACATTTTTTAATATCCTTTCCAAAATGGATACGAATCACTTACCTTGAGAAAAATCTCTTTTAATCTATCAGTATCAGCCCTTTTGAAGACTTCAATCTGTATTAAAAAAAAAAAAAAAACACATAAGTGTACTACAAGATATAAAATGGTAAACTACTTTTTCATTGTATGTAAACAACTTCTGTCTTTTGAAAACAATCCTCAACAAGACACCATCCCTACAAATATTTTTTACTCAATCATAAATTTTAAATTGAACAGTTTTTATATAGTCCTCCAAGTATGGAAATAAAAAAAAAAAAAAAAAAAAAAAAACTAAACAATTTAGCTCCTGTCTGTCACATTGTTTTGATTAAATTTTTGTATTTGCTGGTTTATAAATATCATGAAATTAATGGAAAGTATTTTTTAACATAATTTAAATCATTATTTTTTAAAGTGTTCAGTGTTGTTTATTTTCAATAAACAAACTAAAAATTTTAAACAAACCTATTTTTATAAATTTTGGAAATGAAACTTGGGTAGTTAATGAATAAATTGATAGCCAGAAACTTTTATTAACAAACAAATAGCTAAAAACATTTATTTTTGTAGGTATGATGTCTTGTTGAAGATGGTTTTTGCAAATCAAAAAATTGCTTCTTCGTTTTCAAATAAAAATAAAATACCAATTGATTCACACATCATATTACATACACACACAAGGAACCAAAATACCATGATAATTATGAGAAAATCATTTCACCCCCCCAGCAAAGCAATAAAGTCACTAAGATACAGAGGTTATTGAGTGTGAAAGAAACTGATGCTTCAGTTATGTATCAAGATTCTTGACAGGATCCAAATGCAATGTCACTGGACCTGACATCTCAACTTCAGTCATTTTTCTATTGCTATAACATAGCTTTCCTGTGCCTTTTCAATAAATATTTTCAAAGTAATTGTTCTGATGAGCTTTCCTCATTGGTAACTCAACTTCAAATTTAAGTGCAGTAGTAGATTGGCAATTTGGTCTCATGACTTTCACATATTGAAATTGTTAAATGTAACTGTAAACTTTATGCACAAAACCAATTAGAATAATATTCTATTTACAGATTTGTGCAAAGACAAACTGATCCAATGTTAGTGGTCAGCATGATATAGCAAATGATGAAGATGAATGGATGGAATCTGATGTTGAAGATGACTGAACATAAGGTATCCCACCCAGGACAAATCTTGATTTGATACCTTAACTTTTCAGTTATAGAATCTATACTTCATGTCTAAATTGAAAGCACTAAATATTCTGCCCAATTCTGCCAATTTGGGCCACATCAGCAAATTTCATTTGTTGAATTTTGAAAACCTTCAAAGTGGCAGCACGCTGAATAACTAAACCATTGTTGCATGAAAATTCGCATTTTTTGCTTTAATATCACTTTAAACCTCTCAATTTTCTTTTGTTACATGATAGTTTTAGCTAAAACAATTATTAAGCAGAAAGAGAGAAAAAATATCAGTGCAGAATTCTTATCTTTCCCCAAAGATATTTGCACATAAGTGAATGTAACAAACTCAGTTCTCTGATTTTCAATCCGAGCCACTATCCATTAGACCACTTGCATATTCAACTTGTCATGCACTGAAGTAGAAATGTTCACACATAAGTCACTAAAAAATGTATCAGTGAAATTCAAAATCTAGAATAATCTGGATATAAGCATGTAATTTCAGAACAATGCTTCATTTATGAAGAAGATTTGATCATGTAGAAAAGAACTAGTTTTTAGGTCATACTGCTTCACTATGTGAAGTAAGTCTCAACTCTTACATAGTGGTCACAAAATGTAAAATAGGTATACATTGTCCATGTGGCTTGCTGTCTAATATGATTCATTTTTTTAAAACTTGAATTTATAAGTCAATTCAATGAAATATATAAGCCTATAAATCTCTGAATACAACTTATCTACATCAGTACTTATAGTTTGTTGTACTTAAAAAAAAAAAAAAAAGTCAACAGAATCCTTAATTGTACCAATGGTTTTAATAAAATAATTAGCTATGTCATTTTATTTCTACAGTAAATTTTAGTCCTCTCTATTCAAAGCTTACATTGTACTTCCTCAAATATCCATACCTCTGAATTTCAATTATCCAGACATAAAATGAAGAGAAAAATTGAAATGATTCTAATATTTCTCAATTATCCAAACTAAACCCATTCTAATATTCAAAATTGAGGCATATTCTTATCAAAAATAAACTGAGCAAAATATTGAAGAAAATGTTTGAAAAGGGTTATTTGAGGATATGTTAAATTTCTTTCAGAAAATTACTTTTTTTTTTTTTTTTTTCATTCCTTTTCAGTAATTTAAGTATTCAATTATTCGGAATTTTGAATTATATGAACAAATGTTTTCAATCCATCCCAAGATGTTCATATAATCAAGGAGGTACTGTACTTTCCTCATATTAAGTTTTGTTTTTTATGGCTTATCAACTTTTACAGGTCATTTAAAAGCTATAAATATTTTTAGATTTAAAAATTTTTTGGAGATGATAATGATTTACTCATACAAGTCTTACTAATTAAACAATAGCTAGGGGGAGAAGAGGTAGATAAATACCATTCCCAAAGATATTTGCACATAAGTGAATATAATGAACTTGTCTGTGGAACTTGCTGTCCTATTTCCAATTCTGAAACTTTGTCCATTACATCACCCGCATATCCAAGCTTACAGCATCTGGAATCCCTAAGTGGTCACCCATCTAGGTAGTGACTAAGCTAAATGTTGCTTAACTTTGCTAATCATACAAGAACTGGTGTTTCCTCAGATTTTAGGCAGAAATAATGTTTACAGTGAGTTCCACATATACACAAGGCATTTAAAAATCACCCATTATGGAAATTTATTGCAAAAGAGAAATTATATTACACAATTGTTTGCTTTATGCAAATAGTAAATTTTTGTTCTGATTAACTTCAGTAAATATTGTCTTATAAATCTGTATAAACATTTCATGCTCATTTGATAAATGGTATTGATGCCCTACCACAAAAAAAAAACAAAACAAATCAAGCTGAATTCTATTACTATGTTCATAATAATGTATTTGTTATAGAATTTATTACTATAACCACTTGGAAAAAAAAAAAAAATCACATGACAAGTCCCATAACCCATTAGGGTCTTAAGGGCATCACATATACGGCAGCAATAGTGATAGTTCTAGGGCAACACAACCTGGCACAGCCCATTCTTCTTCAAACTCATTTTTCCTAGACTGTTTGTTGCCCAATACTAAAGAGCCTAGTCTGTCTAGCAATTAACACCTATCGAGAGAGAGGGGATGTCATGCCTTTCCAGGAGCATTTGTGTGAAAGTGAATGCAACAATTTTAGATGGTTCAAAAAGGTCAAACTGTCAAAAATGACCTACAATCTGTTAACTGGGGCAAGACATGGCTTGTTAATTTTAATGCCTCCAAAATAAAACTGCTCTCTATTAATGGTCTTGGAGAACCTTTTTTCTGTCTTCCCTCAGAAAGACTTTCTAACCCTCTGTAAATTGGGGTTTGCAACTTAGGTGAATCCATAGAAATTGCTCGAGCTTCAGTCTGTGCAACAGCAAATTTTTCTCACTCAAACCAGCAAGATATTCTTTGGCCAGTTATACTTTTAGTTACCATGTAATAATAAATAATGATATGCAATGAGAGCCCAAATGAAAGAAATTAAAAATGAAAAGAACATTATTAGATTGACACTTTTGACATTGTTTCTATTTAAGTTTGAGTTTGAATTCACATTTATCAGTCATTTGTCTATTTTGTGACTCATGGTAATGGATATTCACCTATCAGGAAACATTTGGCATTCAGTGACCAAGCAATTAATACTATTTCTGGTTGAAATTTATAAAATCTTTCTCTTAAAACAATTTTTCAGGAATCAGCTTTCTCAAGCACAGTAGTTTTTATCAAACTTTTCATTATTGATGGGGGTTTCCATCTTAACCTTTTATTTGAAATAGTGTGGAATGTTAACATCTTTATTAGGACATTATTTTCTTTTAAGAGTTACATGTGCTAACCATTTTAGTTGTTACTGCTGTTGATAGTCCTCAATTGATATGGTTTCTGCTATTTAGTACAGTTGTTTGTGAATCTGAAGCGACAGTTCACATTTTTCAAAGAAGGATGATCTTTGCCAAAACTCTCAGACTTCACTCACTGAATTTCTTTTTTCACTATTGATCTTAGAATGTGGTTGTATGCAGCCAACAGTTTAGATATTTCTGAATGGTTTTGGCACCATTTTTACAGTGGATTTAGGGTAGATGCCATCACTGCTTTCAAATAATTACTGGGAAATTTGCTTATACTAATCCTCTCTCTTCATTTGGGATCTGCAAATGCTATTAATGGTTTTTAAAATGTTAACTGTCTATTCAGTTATTTCTTTTGACAATTTTAGGACATTTTACCAACAACTTGTACATTTTGATGTCAGTTGTAATGTAATGTTGCTTATATCTTCTTCTATGACATTGGCAATCATGGCTCCCCACATTTTCCTGTCCTTTATATCTCTTAATAAATGTTTTTGTTATCGCCACTAAACTTCCTTCTGCCATTCATTTAGTCAGGCTCACTAAGTTAGGTTTTGTTTTCCTTTGTCCCTCAATCTGTCCTGTGAGTATCAAATTTTCCAAGTCCTCTTTCATTATGTGCCCTAGAAATTTCAACCCTCTCTTCCTGATGTTAAGTATCTTCTTCTCATTGCTGTGTCCCTTCAGGAAGCCAGTTATCATGGCTCTCTACAATTTCCTCTCTCTTTTTGCCATCTCTCCCAAACCCTGCTTCACTATCCATTCACTCAAGCTTGCTAGGTAGGTTGTTCATTTTATTCCTCTGTCTTGTACCTTCAACTGGTTCTGTGAGTATCAAATTTTCCAAGCCCCTTTTCCTCATTATGTGCCTCAGAAATTTCAACTGTCTTTCTGATGTTAAGTGTACAACCTTTTTGTTACCATTGTTTCTAGAACTTAGTTATTGTTCACATGTTCAGTTCATGGTATCTTCAGCATCTTTCTGTAGAACCA